TCAAAACAAATACAAATTTAACGAAAATAAATTACGATTATAGGATAATATTTCAATCATGTTTCATATTTGGTGCACTTTACCAGATAACAATGAAAAATTGTAATTAGTTTCAATAGATTGCCGGTTAGAAGAAAGATTTGTCACATATATTTTTTTCTATTTCATTCAATCCCATCAGAAGTATTTGAGTTTATAGTCAACATATAGATTTTCATAAATAAAATTCACAACGCGTTGTGGTTACGGTGAAATATCCACGAAGAAAATCTATGACGCGTTCTGAGCATTAATTGGTTTAATCATATCACGACGGACAGGATTTTAAATTGTCATAAAATAACTTAAAGTCCCTTATTATTTTAAGTATGTTATAAGTATTTTACCAGTTTTAGTAATTAAGTTTACAACATAATATGCCTCTCGTCGTCACATCTAACCTTTGATGTGACCTAAGTTAACCCAACCGTTCCATTTTATATAAGTGATTCGCTTCTGGCACTTCGATGGCCGCTGCCGCGACACGCTCGCTTGTACCATAGGCACTTGACAGCGGTACATCTCATCGACGTACTGCGACACACTCTACCTTCATCCGATCTGTCCCACCTTTCATTTTCCTCTCTTTTTGTTTTCTCCTTCCTTACCTCTTTATCTCTTTTTTTCTTATGTCCTCTCGTTCTTTTCTTTCCGATTGGGACTCCTTCGCCTGTCTCCAACTCGACGCTGGCAGGTGTGGGATCCTCTCGGTACACTACCCAGCGCTTTGATGAGCGGTTTTTTGCATCTCAAAACCGAGATACAACTCGATGCGCTCGGATGGGGGCTGTATTCTCATTGCACATACAAACAAATAAATAGTGGGTCCACTAGATCCCTGAAACATAAATAAGATAAAACCTACAAACAACACTCATATCACAAATAAAACTTTAAAAAATCCTAACCATTACGTTATACCCTATTTATTGCTGATGCTATACTTATGGCAATGTCTTGAACACAAATCTACATCTATATCGCAAAGCACTAATGTTGTAATCAAATATTGTTTTCGTACGCTTCCTGGCTTTTCTTTTTTGCTTCTTTACGACGCGTTGAGGTCGAATAGCAAGTTATACACGACATGGGTTTTTCTATGTAGCTTTTCTGTAATTGCCAAAACGCGTGGTGATCGTCTTCATTAGAGCCATAACACGAATTTCGCTATCTGGAGATTTTACTGTGACCACAATGCGTTGTGAACAATTAATTCGCTCAATGATCGGTTTCGGCCTTTGAGCGTAACATATACACAAGAACTTTATAAATTACATCTTAGAATTACCTATTTGATATCAATAGTATTAAATCTCTATTTAGTGTATAGAACTTTCAATATAGCAGTTTGATGTAAATAGATTATTAATTATATTCAAATAAAAGGTTACCGCAAAATAACTCATTATTTTGTATACACAATTAAAAGTAATACTAAATTGGTACCGATAAATCAGGTTTCACGGCAAAGGTTCATTCGTTTACGTAAACTTTGAGATTGGCTCTAACAAGGATAGCAGAGAGGGAGCGCCGGTGATTTCTGCTCTTAAAATCCAATTTAAATGCATTCCTCTGTGCCACAGGAGGGCAGCCGATACGCTCTTGGGACCAATTAACTTATTCATTCTTAACATTTAATTGTTCAACTTACGGTTCGCGCACTAGACATTCAATTTTGTTTAACAGTTTGATATATGACAATATGCTTGTAAGTTTTGAACGCAAGACTTAGGATGCATGGTTTATTTTTATGATAACGTCGATATAACTTTCTGTAGATAGATGTTATTTAATGTAATTAAATTTAAAATATATTTTATGCTAAAGGTTAAACTCGATTGATATCAATTCTCTATATTGACAGGTTATTTATATAAAGTGATATTAAGATTACCCAACGAAATACTTATAACACATAATAGACAATAAATATACTCATCATTGCAAGAAAAAGCTAACAAAACGCGATCTTGTTGCTAGACAGTGATACTTTCCAGGTAAGTGAAAAAAATGTTTCAATATAAATAATTAATTATACATAATATCGCAAAGATAAAAATAAAGGAAGTGTCTTTAGAAGCATCAATATTTTTAAAGAACTAAGATAACTAACACAGATGACATTGGCATTTACTTAAATGTTAAATTTAGTAGACAAAATTATCGCATCAGGAAAAATTATCGAGGTTAATAGGTGGAGGATGCGAATATTGCGCACAAATAACAGCGTTTTCTGTTGTTTTAAAATGAATCATAATAATGTAGGCACCGAAATAGATTTAAATTATCGGACAGTGTTGCATATGCGCACATTCCAAAATATTACTACTCCAGCGGCTGTACACTACAGCGGCTGTGTGGCTGTTTTAACAGACTTTGCGATCTTAATCTTACCGAATTCGGTCGCTTATTCATAACGATCATAATTTAACGATTATTAAAAATCTCTAGAATTCAGTATATTGTTATTTATTAGGCGTAAACCGAATTTAACTGTCAAATTAGCGATATTCGTAAGTTTCTGACCTGTTAGAAGCAGAAAAAATCGAGAACCATGAAATATGATATACACACATTTTTCGCTTCTTCGACATTTATATCTTTTCATTCATATTGTTATGGCTTCTGACTTCACCCTCCAATAATACGCAATCAATTCGTTAAAAGGGTGTACGTGCATGCTCCGGTTTCCTTATCATCCCACTTTCGGGTTATGTTTATCGTGCTTATGTCGTCCGGTATTCTTTTCACATGTTTGACTCAAAATCCGTAGTACCCAACGCGGAAGCCAGATGGGATGAGAAATTGACCAGGCAACCCTCACTGTTCAATCCCTGCTAAAGTTATTTTCATCCACGACATTAAAAAGAAGCTCGATGATATGTTGGTAAGCGCTATACGGGTTTTAAGCAACTTTCGCAAAGACCGGTCATAGGATGGGTAACCAAGAATTTATTATATTGAGCTTCTCCGTGTTCTCGTCTGCATCTGTAATCGTTAACACCCACCGATCCTAACTATTCGTTTCTATTTCACTCTTATGTGCTTCAGCAGTAGCAGGTCAAAAATAGCTGGTGATAATATAGATGATGATTTGCTCTGTATCATTGACTGTAATTGATATATACATTATTTCTTTCAATAATGTTGCTTTCGAATACAATAAATAATTTAGGTTAACTATCAGTCACTCCCTTACTATCCAAGAAGGAGGCCTGAGACTCTACAGTGTTAATGTAACAGGGCTGATGATGGTGATGATGATAATCATCTTTCAACTAGATAGAGAGTCCATAGGTCAGCTTCATTTTCTATATATAAATATATCTTGAGCCATCATAATTATTTTTGTATCGAAGACTTTAATAGATTTACGCTATATATTGCGGAGATTTTTACAGTTTAGTAAAATAAGGAATTATAAAAGCAAATAAATTAATAGCATGCTCTTAGAAGGTGATATCAGAAGCCATAAAAATCGGCGAGTATCTATGAAAGGAGTAATGAAAGTGGATGAGACGAAAGACATATGTAAGGATCGTACATTGTGGCGTTCGGGTCTTTCTGCCCATCCCAAGTGATATGGCATGAAGATATAGGTAGATAGATAATAAACTTATGCGACACGAAAATTAGTTGATTTAGGTATTTGTTATTTTAAATTCTGTATGCTGTATTTGATTTTTGTGTCGACTAAGAAGAGTTTCCTAGTCGAAAGAGTCAGATACATAAGTTAATAAAGAAAACAACTCTTCTGAAGTCAGATATAAAACATCGAAAATGCAATTTGAGCACCCTAATAGAAACGTTCTCACTTAGAATTGTTGCAAAGTGTAATGGGTTCAGGTGAAATTAACGCAGAAAAATAGGAAAAGTTAGAACGAGTTTTTTCCGTCGCCAAGTAGCGCTGTGATTGTAAACTGCTGAATTTATAATGCTATTTTCGAACTCCAGTTCATCGGAAACTTTTTAACCGATTCGTAATTTTTTCTCAAGTTTACTACCTAACAGTTATTTAGGAGGTAAATTCAATAATATAAAAGTTATATAGCCAGCTTTTTTGAAAAGGATAGTCATTTTCTCTGCTTCTGAAAAAGCTTTCAAATGGCTTTGTAAAAATTACAATAGAGCCTTTCACAGCTTTCAACTGCTTAATATACCAAAAGTGTGTTTTTTTTTTTTCACTTATATCAACTTAACTGCTCTAAAAGTATAAAGTTTTAAATAGCGTTTATTCATACAAATAATAATCAATAAAATCATTGTTGAGATAAAATGTACTTTGAATATTCCATGAAAGGTATAATGCGAAAATAAATTATATTTTTCGGACCCTATTTATTTAAAAAGGATGCGATGACTCAGACAGATTTTCGAGATCTGTGCGCCCTCTTCGGATTACCTTGCAAGTCTCTTATTCGAGAGACGGCCAGTATCATCACTACTTAAGGATATTAAAATCCCTTCTATTTGTGTAAGAAGCTTGTTTTCTCGCTGACGGGCGTTTATAGAATAATCCAGATAGAGAGTGAATTGAGCTTGTATAGTTGGGGTTGTAAACGGGTAAAAAAGATATTATGAAGTTATTCGTCGGATATAATTATATTGGTGAGTGTTCGAAAGAATTTCATTGCCCTTTTCCGTCGTTATCTTTGATATATTTTGTGTTGGTTATAGACTTCATAGTACCGTATTTCCATTTCTGGTCTCTTTATGATTTATTTAAACAATTTTAGATTGGAACTTGCAAATAACGCTTTAATATGAAATATATTTTAACAATTTTTGACTTTTTATAGGATCTGTGGGCACCATACTGTATGGAAACAGTACCATACACAAGTCGTTGATAATTCACATTGCTAACAAATTCTATAAATCAAGTTGTTTCACATGAAACAGCTTACAGTGCGTAACATTAAAATAATATCTTATTATTTATTTATTGGCCAGAAAAGGACCTTGATCCTAGGGCATATATCAGATGTTATGTAAATTGTCCTAATTTAATTTTATCTCCGAGAACTAATAACATCATTCAGTCAGTACATATATTCGAATCTGAGTGATCGCTACACTAAATTTGCGTTTAAAGCAATTCGGGTGAATGCTTTTCTAATAGATTTACCAGAGACCAAATTAATCAAGTACTTGTTTGTTACTTTTACTATTTTATTTAGTATAGATTAGTTTTTCAGATAATTTTAGTACTCATCAATTACTTAATCTACGTACTTTAATTTACAGGACAACCAAATGAAAATGAAGTCGGCTCTGTTATTTACGCTGTGTTTGGTAACTCTAACAGTATTAGTGGAAAGTAGAACAGCATGTTCAAGGTAAGCTATATGTACAATATGTTTTATTAAACTTAAAATGTATTTAAAAAATATAATAATAATCCTCCTTTTTTTAGGAAATCTATTCGCTGCTGCCGACAAAATGAAATTGATGATGACGATTGCTCCCAGGTATATGTTTATTTGAGAAAATACATGGTTCTTATCATATTTTGTTTTTGCATAACTGTTGGTGTCATATAAAAACTGCAGATATATTATTTAGGGCAGTTCAAAGTTGAAAATACATTATCTTGATACATTATTCTACATATCTATTTGATGTCTAATAAGTCGCACATTTATTTAAAGTCATTATTTGAATACCGAGAAAGAAAAATTCTGATGATTCACCTCGTGTGCAGAGACAATTCTAAAATTTTTCACCTCATTCGGTGCGATTCTATAAAATTAAAACTACATGCTTTTTGGTCATTTGAACATCGATCTTCTTGAAAGTAGTTTGACCTCGGCAATCCCAAACACTATCAAGGTTCTCCACATCTCCACCGAATTGACCTTTACAAGTAACAAAGTCAAAGTCAAAATATTTTTTATTCAAAGGAAATTATTAAAAGTATTTTTGAAGAGTCCTATATTTTTTTATATTCTTTTATAAAGAAGTTTTGAATAGGTTAAGAAGAACGAGTTGTTAAGAAGACCGAGCAAAAGACACTCGCCGGCTCAAATAGAAGTATAGAGCTAGTGAGTGGCAAAAGACGTATAATTAAAAAAAAGTCAATTATAGTAATAGCAGATATACTTCGAGGTCCATGCATTTTTATCTGCTATAATCAGCCACCATTCTTGATAAGCATTTTTAATACAAGATTTAAATGAAATTGTTATTTGTTTTGTAAAAGCGCACACAAAAAGCCCCGAATGAATTTACTAACACATATTTAACCTAATAATATCACTTCATTTCAGGTAAGACGTCGTTGTAATGATGACTCATCGTCTTCATCTTCGTCTTCGTCATCTTCTTCTTCTTCATCATCTTCTTCTTCTTCGTCATCAGAAGAAGATGATGATTGCGGCAAAGTAAGTTTTTTTTGTAATTATAATTAAGACGATACTAAATTTTATTATAGACTTGCTGTAACCCGTGTCTTCGCCCAAGCGGTCCGAGGGTACTGTGTGCACACCGGCCTGCTATACTCGAGTCTTAAGCTAATCTTAATCTTAATTTATATCATCATCATTAGCTTATCAATGTCCTCACTGCTAGGGTATAGGCTTGCCCAATAGATGGAATCAATTATGAAAAATCTACAGGTGTTTCTGTGTACAACGCACAGTCTTCATATAATAGTACCATTGCTCTTCTTTCCATTTTAATGCGCAGTAGAATCGACACGCATTGCAAAAAATACAAACAAATATTTACTTTGAAATAATAGTCCTTTTTTATTGAAGTCTTATTCTACGCCTGATCCTCATAGCAACTTGATTGTCAACTTATTCTTGCTTTCTCAATTGAGCATTCTGGGAAATTTTAGTACGTGAAATTTTGCCAAAGGATATTCTTCCATCTCTTCGATTTGTAGGTATCCAACATATATAATTTCATCTACTTAGAATTTTTTTACACCCAATTTATTATTTAACTCTAATAGTTTGTATTTTAGTGGCTATTTTAGATAAAACTGTTTCCTACCATTAGTTGCTCATTTCAAATATTTTATTTTTAGTCCATCTTAATTCATACATTTTCATACATTAGTTTCGCAAACTTGATTAACACCCCTCAGTTAAGTATTAAAGTATCTCGTTAATAGTCACTCGTATATTATTTTGTAGTCCGATTAATAAATTCTTCACTAAAATATATTATTAAAAAAACTGGGCAGGCATACTAATGCTGAATTGTCCTATTTTTGCTTATAAATGACCTATCCTTCCAAAGAACGAGGCCACCATTTTTTTTCCCGCACTTCGATCTCTCTTCACTTTAGTTGGCAACTCCTCGAAAGGAAACACCCACTGAGCAGATTGTCTTTTGGTTTTAGGATCATAACAGTAAATCCAGCTTTCGTCACCTGTTAGTATGTCGAACACAGCATTTGAGTCACCTCCGTTAAATCTTTCAATCATTTTACGACACCAATCCACACGATGGAGTTTTTGAGCTTCAGTCAAATTATGAGGTATCCACCGGGCGCAAAGCTTCCTGACCGCTAAATGTTCGTGGAGGATTTTGTGCACTTGACTCATACCGATGCCTAAGCTTGTCCGAATCTGTTGATAGGTCACTCTTTTGTCAGTCTCTATCATACGCCGCACAACACAGATGTTATCTTCAGTCGTCGCCGTAGAAGGCCGTCCCTCACGTAAATCATCAGTGAGATTAGTGCGACCACGTTTAAACTCATTAAACCAGTTGTAAACTATAAGTATTAGGTCCTTACATATGAATTTGGTTTTGGTATGGGAGGAACAAAAGGTCGAATATTTTTTAATCAAAGTATAAACCATTAATATCTATGCACTTTTGCCATCTCATAGATAGTTCATTGATCCCCTTACTAAAAAAACCATTCGGACGGGAATCAATAAAATATTTGAAGGCGATTAGCACTGCCCCATCGGAGTTGAATTTTTCCCTTGCAAGAAGTTATCCAAATTTCGAAAAAAATAGTAATCTGTTGGAGCAAGGTCCGGGGAGTATGGTGGATGTCTTAGACATTCCAATTGAAGCTCATCTAATTTGGTAGCCGTCTGTTGTACAGTGTATGATCTAGCGTTGTCGTGAAGTAGCAGTAGCGTAGAGCGATTGACTTGCCTCGGTTTTTTAACAGTTAGTTTTTCCAGCATGGTTTGCAACTGCTGACGATAGACGTCTACCGTAATCGTCTGGCCAGATTTGAGAAAGCTGTAATGAACAACAACAGCACTAGTCCACCAAACGCTAACAAGTAACTTTTTTGTGGTCAAATTTTGCTCGCGGCGGGTTTTGGCTGGCATGCCAGGATCCAACCATTGCGATGAACACTTCTGATTATCGTAGAGAATTCACTTTTCATCACAGGTAATGATACGATTTAAAAACCCTTTAACATTGTGCCGGTTAAGTAATGTAACGCTTCGGTCGAAGCGCGTTTGCCGGTTTGTTTCACTCAATTCGTGAGGAGACCTTTCAGTGAGGAGAGCTTTTTAATCTTTCCAATTTACTTCAAGTGGATTAAAATAGTTTTATCACTAACACCACAGCCTGAAGCTAACTCGGACGTGGTTCGCGATGGATCCACTGCCACAATAGCCTTCAATTCTTTATTATTAACTTGGGTCTCCGGCCATCCACTGATTTGTATGATCGGGTGACGTCTTTGCAAGCGAGTCGTACTTTCGATTATGTAGTGAAAAACCTTGAACGAAAGCTTACAAAACCGTGTAATCGCTATCATCACCGGCCCTTTTACGTCCCCACCGCATGGGCTCAGGCCTTCCTTATGGATGGTTAAGGAGGATGGGCCATGACCCTCTACGCTGGCCCAATGCGGATTGGAGGGTAATCGCTTTGCTACGTTTTAAACATCATCTGCACTATCGGATAAACTAAAATATGTAATAAATCTATCTGATGTTAACCTGGATAAAACTACTGTTAGTAAGCTAAGGGAAAACTTTGCTCCTACACCGAAACGAATTCCGTACGAAAACATAATTGACAACGTGGAGGATGCGATTTTAAGCAAGAAGATACCGCTGAGGCAAGTCGTTGTGGTTATTCTACGTAAGTCAAAACCTCCAGCGAGTAACATCACTAAGAAAGAGCGTCTATCTAGCATTAAAGAAAATTCGAGAAAACGAGTACATTTTGGTGCTAAAGGCCGATAAGGGAAACACCACTGTAGTGATGAATACCAGTGAATACCAGGAAAAGATACTTGATTTTCTAAGTGATAAAAAAGCGAGACAAAGCGGTGTCCTATAACCCGACAGCCAGAGTAACGCGTCGAATCCGTTCTGCCGTACTTGAGAACAAGGACGTATTTAGTGAAGACTAATATGAGAAGCTCTATAAGCTCAAGGCACATCAACTACCGAAGCTTTATGGTCTGCCCAAAATATACAAGTTTAATGTGCCACTGCGACCGATGGTAAGTCAAATTTTTTCTCCCTTTTGTAAAAGATTTACGTCATTTCGTCCAGATTATAAAGGAACTAAAGGTGAAACCTGAAGATGTAATGGTGAGCTTTAACATGGAGTCGCTTTTTACAAAGTTCCCATTAAAGAGTGACTGGACATAGTAAAAGACATACTAACGAATAACGAGATGCCGCTCAACTATGTTGAGCTACTTGACCATTACCTGCGGGGCAGCTATTTTCTGTTCCAATTATACCTTCAGAGTGATGGCGTAGCAATGAGAAGTCCAGTGGCCTCAGTACTTGCCAACATTTGGATGGAGCATTTTGAAGAAAAGGCACTACAATCTGTCTCTAGTATAGTGAAGATTTTGAAGAGGTATTTAGCGTGATCAGGGGTGGCCAACAGGAAGTAGATCAAGTCTTTAACCATTTAATCTCCATTCACCCGAATATTCGGTTTACATACGAAATGGAAACGGAAAGATCGTTGCTTTTTATAGATATTCGATTAACCGCGATATCTGATGAATCCCTAACCCAATGTATATATCGAAAACCAACGCACATGGATAGATACCTAAACACAAAATCTCATCACCACCCCAGTAAATCTGTAGTAAATTCATTGAAAAACAGGGCATACGACCTCTGTGACCCTAAGCATTTAAAGCAGGAGCTACTGCATGTTCAGGAGGTTCTACATAGAAATGGATACCAGGTGATGGGACGAAAAAAGCAACCAGTGGAGAGGTACAGGCATCCTATGGTGAGTAGACAGTCAGCCTTGTATAAAAGGAGCCAAAGGAGTGACGGACAAGATCGGCAACATATTACGTGAGTACTTTATTTCGACAGTTTATACTCTCGATATAAGAGTGAGTGACATCGTGACTCCCAAGTATGTTCTACTTTTGATTGACAAAATCAGGGGGTTTACGAAATCGATTGCAGCAGTGGATCGAGGAAAGGGTTAAAAAACACATAGCAGCTGTCAAAAACCTGCCATTGCGGAATACCTACTGGAAAGGGGCACAAATCACTGGATCGAGTTTAACCATACGCAAGTCCTTTCCATGGATCACCACTTTTATTCAAGAGTAGTTCGTGAAGCGATTGCAATTAAGAAAAACCCTAAGAACTTCAATCGCGAAGACGGATATAGATTATACAAGCGTGGAAATTATTATTTGCTTAAACGCAACCCCTCTTTAGCAATCGGTAAATCCCCAGAATATGGCTCATGTACGGAATAAGGACACCGTTAGTGTTGTTTGTGATGGTAGTTGGATGAAAAATCTGAGGGTGGAAGAAGATTCATCCTCGGATGTAGGTCAGTGTAAAATCGCGTCTAATACCCGGTAATATAAGAAACGATTTTATCGATTTAAATTAATTATCACATTATTTAATCCTATATCATCATTATTAAAAAAGCACATAAAGGGATGATCCCTTTATGTGCTTTTTTGGATACTATATAAGATACAGCAGGACTTTATAACTTTTAAAGGGATCAATTTCGAATAAAATGATTTCTGCGTACCTTTCATCGGTTACGCAATGCACGCATTTAAAGCTTTAAAAAAGTAAAATATTCTCCCGTTTTTTCATCATTTTTCATTGCTGCACCACTCCTATAAGCCATAGCGTGATATTATATATACTATAGCCTATAGCCTTTCTCAATAAATGGATTATTCAACACAAAAAAAAAACATACATAATATTGTACTTGTACTATTTACATTATCAGAAATCTCTCTTTTATATTATGTAGAAACACTTATTACTATAATAATACATACAAAAACATTCTTTTTTAATTTTTAAATTCGCTGTAGACACAGAAAAACGAAGGGATATAAAAGAAAAATTGTCTCAAAAGTAAAATTATCTAAAGCCAAAGTTTGAGAACAGTTTCATAATAATTGCTCATTAGAACCGCAATCGACACTCGCTCGAAGGGTTCCGTTGCGCCATCATTTCCAAACAAATTGAAGAGGTTCACAACTTTCAACGATTCTGATATTTTTTACCTGTTTTAGAAACTACTAAGAAATATTTTTCAAATAAAAAGTATCCGCTACCGAGTATAGAATCTGAACATTTTTTCAATAACTTTTAAAATAATATAAATCACTTTGAAAAATCCCAGATGCCGTTTTGATTAATTAGACGATAGAGTTTAAAGGAAATTTTAGTTTTTTTTTGTGCAAGCAAAACTTGAAGTCTTCGGAGACTATAGAGACGTATTCAATTAGTACTTCAGTCCGTTGATTAAGAAATATCACAGTTACTATCATCTCTGCAGTCTCGATTTCCAATCGAACGAATATAGATTTGTACTGAATCTAAATCCTTTAAGGTATGGATTATTCTTTTTGTGTATGATTTTCCGAACAAATGTATGTCCGCGATTTACCGAATTCAGTAACACAAGAGGACTTAATTCAAGGTTTAAAAAATCGATATCTTGAACAGGGGGATTTACCTACTTTCGATGTTAGCAAATATGTGATGTTATTTATTTCTGCTCCATTTATAATTTTTCAATGATGGTGTTTATAAACATGTATTTACATTTTTTTTTCAGAATAACAGTGGTTCTTCTTCTTCATCCTCTTCCTCCTCGTCTTCGTCTTCATCTTCATCGTCATCTTCTGAAGAGGATGATTGTAATGGTCATTCTGGACATGTAAGTTACCTCAACAGAATAACGTTAGTAAGCAACAAATCATACCTATTAGAAAAATGTATTCCAAATCTGTTTTAATTTTTTTTTTGGCTATATAGGCAACTTTTTTTCACTTATATATTAACCTTAACATATAATCGTCAAAGTTTTCAACACCTATTCCATCGGCTTCAGCTTGCTCTCATTTGAATAGATAAATTTTGATACTATTTATAAAAAAAATATAATGTATCAAAATGCAATTAGAAAACATTGTATTATTCATTTTCTTGAAATAGTTTAATGATATAATAATTAATTATTGTATTTTACCTCTAAAGCGCTAAAAAACGTCTCATTTAGCTTCAAATTTCATTATCCTTAAAGATCTGTCAGTGTGGTACTAAAATATATACTAGTTAGTGTTTTAGTACTGCAGTGGTTGAACAGTGGGCGTTATTAGACGACAGTACGTTTTATTGTCCTCTAAGAATTATAATACTATTTTAAGGTTAACATAATAAAAAGGTTTGTTTTCAAGTTTGAACTTAACTACTGACAAAACGGATGACCGAAAACATTTGGTGTTAAATACAAAAACACATTTGTAAACTTCTGTCAGTTGTTTCTTGTTTCGGAAGAGACTTTTCGAAGGGCAAAGTGACAAACAGTGAACTCCCTCCGCAATTGGATCCACAACGTTACATAATAAGGAAACGACTTATAAAGGACAAACGTTTGTCGTGTTTTATTTTTTCAGTAATTTGCTCTCAAACGATAGAACTTTTACTTTATCAGACTGCGTATTCTAGCATTGCGTCACGTAACAATATCTGCGATGCAGAATATGTATTCTAACAACATAGTGCACCTAAAGAGTTTTTTATACTTAATGTTCTACGTTTGATTCTCAAAATGACTAATGAAATATATGGTTTTAATATCTTCCTCCATAATAATGGAAGAGTTCCTTTAAATATAAATAACAATTTTCGAACTTTAATTTCAGTTTTGCCCTTTTTTTCTGTTGCAGCACAAAAAGTCAAAACACATGAAACACTCACCTTGCAACGCCAGAGGCTAAGATTCTGAGGATCACTTTACTTAAAATCAAAATAATATTTTTTTATTATTGGAATTATAAAAGTAAGCGAGAAAAAATATATGAGAGTACTGGTATTAGTGATAATCGTTTAGCCACTATTGTCAATGCTATATAAATAACAAACTATTATTAACAATAATGTAACTTATGTGCCATTATCAAAAGTTTCGATGTACGATAATGTGAAGTTAACGCTGAATATAACATTGAATGTGATTTTGATTTCTTTTATTTTTTGATTTATTATCATGCGCTAGTGCGCGTGACAGATTCTAGACTCACATGGATAGTTCCATAAATGAAATAACTATTAAACGGTTTCACCGTGTTTGTATTTAGTTTTATTGACGTTTCGGACCCTTTACAGGTTCAGTGTTCACATATTTCTTGAGTAGTTTCATTTATTGAATTACATGTTGCTACAAATATAAAGCACCATTCTGCTTTAAATATTAGATTTGTATAGCAAGGTGACACATAATAGCATCTGAATAATATTTCAGTTAATTGTATTAACACGCTATTGTGTACCTGGGTTATATTGAGTATAATGTCTTAATAAATCGATGGTAAAATATTTTTTGATATTACAGGATCTAGTAATAAAAAGGGTGTTAAAAGAGACTCACTTTATGAGTCATAATTATGTAACTGCTGATGTACTTTGAGAAGCTCGGTGGCGTAGTGGATAAGCACCGCGGCCCGCGATCGTTGTCGTTAAGCAACTTTCGCAAGGGTCGGTCACGGGATGGGTGACCAAAAAATTATTATCTCGAGTTACTCCGTGCTTCGGAAGGCACGTTAAGCCGTTGGTCCCGGCTGCATTTGCAGTCGTTAATATCCTCCAATCCGCATTGGGCCAGCGTGGAGGGTCATGGCCCATCCTCCTTAACCATCCATAAGGAAGGCCTGAGCCCCTGCAGTGGGGACGTAAAAGGGCTGATGATGATGATGTACTTTAATCAAGAGCAATTGCATCGAGTTGAAAAGTTATCTGTAGTTTGAAATTTTCCCAGCCCGTGTAGCACGACAAACTTGATAGATTTTTGTCTACACCAAACCTCACTTTTTTCCGATACACCGATACAATATCTCCTCTCACCCCGTTTCTTGAGTTCGTCGTGCTACGCGTACAGGGAACAATTATCCTTTAAGTTATAGTTATTAAGTTATAATCACAATATAATATGAAATACGGAAATGATGGCACTACTTTATTTTTCAATGGATAGAATTCCCATAATTTGTTCCCTTGATATCCCTCCTCAGTCCTTTGACTTCCTATCCTTTTCTTTTTCTGCTCAAGCTGTTCGGCTTTGGAACTCGTTACTAGAAAATATTAGGAAGGCTCGCACTTTGCGATCTTTCGTCGCAGAAGTAAAATGCCACTTTCTCTCCAACTTTTAACTCTCTATTTCATGTACATTATCTATTTTTCTCTTTATGTATATCTATTTAATTCCTGTCGCTATTGCACCTACTCCCCGTCATCATTAATTATTATTTATCTATGTTTTCTATATTACCATTGGTTGCGTGGAAGAAATTGTTGCATAGTAATAAGGCCGCCTTTTTATACCGTCTGATCTTTTTTCTTTCTTTGTAATGTGTCCTATATTTGTGTAATAAAGAATATTATTATAATTATTATACTATTTTAAGCAAAAACTAATTTAAATTATCCATACTTGTGGGGAGATGCGGCCTTTAAAAAAAACATATGACAGATCGATCAATGTATGGAAAGTGGACATGATCATTTTATTGCATACCTACTTAAAGTGACAAAACAAAAAAGTAAACGTGATGACCTTATCGCATGGCAGCGATCCCTACCAGGCATTTATTTACTGCTTCATATATCATTTTCATCAGAAATATCAGTGTCGATATTTACAATTTTGTTTCCTTGGCTGCAACGAAAGACTAAAATGTGTAATAAGATATACATTTTTATAGTTCCTATCAATGTGTTTTATTATTATCATTGGTACGTATATGGCCTCATTCTATTTTAAGCCGATATGACAACATCATAATATAAGAGACTCGAAGCTCGAGATTTCTTTAAACAACAAAATGTATTACTTAGTGTAGTAGTTTTTAGCAGTAGTTTATCTTTTTATTCTGCTAATGTATGACCAAAGTACGAGTATCATTCAATAAGTACGTAGCTATATTAAGTGATTCCTGAGGTGGAATATAATATATCCCCACTGTTCAGGCTCAGGCCTCCTCTATTGATGAAATCGAATAAGAAGAATAGGCCACGACCCATCACACTGACCATGCGGATGATGGGCGTTAACGACTGCAGATGCAGCCGGATTTGAAGCCATCGTAAACTAATACATATATATTATAAGTAGTCAAAAAGATGTCGTTTTTTAAATCGGTTACAAATTTCAGAACTCTTATTTTATTTCGTAACTGCTACTTAATTCCTAATTATAGGTACTTTCAATGTTGACGAGGATATCATTTATATTTCCGTGAGTATTAAAAGAAATTCGCCAAATATGAGAAGTTCGATGGTGCAGTAGTTAGCGCGCTCGGTTTGAGATGCGGAAATTAAGCGGCTTTCTAATCGGCCACATGTGGGATGGGTGAGCAAAAATGTATTATTACGAGCTGGACCCGTGCAGTGGATTATAGCTCGTTCTCCCTATTCGATTCGATTCTATCTCTTATGGGGCACAGGCCTACCCCAGTAGTAGGGATATAGATAAAGTTAAAACTTACAATGAGATTCCGAAATTTCTTTTACTCTTTACAAATTATTTTTTAAATTTGATACTTTCAAATAAGCAAAACGAATATGTAATAAGATCACGAATTTTCTGAACTTATTGAAAATTTGCAAATTTTTCCATATATGGAAAAAATGACAATAATCCATAAGCATTATACTTATTCCGTAATCAGTTGCTTTACTCTGTACACAGCAGACTGACAGTAGACTTGAGACAACAGACAACAAATTGATCACAGCTCTTCGCTATGTCTTAGATTTTCAATTTTTTTATTACTAAAATATCACTTATTAGCATTATCGCTCGATGAAGATTAAGATTTATTCATTCAGTTAAAACAATTTCTAACTTCAACGAAAGAAAACCTTCCTTACCTTTTCGAGTAGGATTTATTCGATTGAACGTCATCGTTATGTATGACAGTTCTGCGCTTGTTATCGAATTCGAGGCTATTTTATAATAATAATTTATTTGCGTTTGAATAGGGTATACAAAGGAGATATAAAAGATAATACAATTATCACCTATTCTGCCATTTACAATAGCATGCAAATGCAGTAAAACAAGATACTATAAGTACTGATTAATCCACCCAGCCTAACGGTTTCTATAGTCTAAGAACTCATGCAACGAATAAAAGGAACGCTCAGCAAGCCAGTTATATAACTCTCTCTTAAATCTAGTAAAAGGTGTATTCTTTATAGATTCCGGAATCTTATTAAATATTGTTTGACACATAAAGTAGCAGTTATTTTTAAATCGCGCGCTTTTTGGGACTATGTCAAGAATAACTAATATTTATTTCTAGTGTTCCTGGGATACACTTCATGAGCTATTTTGTAACAATTAGAGTATCGTTTGGCAAATTTCGCTGCTTCAAATATATATAAGCAAGGAAGAGGTAGAACACCAAGAAATTTAAACCATTGCTTACATGAGACGTCGGGAGCGATACCACATATGGATCTTATGCATTTTTTCCTGGGCAATCAATACCTTTTGCGCATCTACACCATTGCCCCAAATAATAATTGCATAACTTAAAATTGACTCCACATAAGCGGAGTATGCTGTGAGAGCCGTACTTCTTGTCGCTACTCTTGATAATTTAAATAATGCAAATGAGAAGCTATTTATCTCAATTTTGGTAGTTATAAGTTAAAGCGTGCATTTTTGGTATTTAATAATCAAGTTATTAGAAATTAAATTATTAAAATTCATATAATATGTCTTGTCTATATTTATTGTCAGATTAAGGAATTTAAGCCAGTTTATTATGGTCATTATTGTATTATTTATGTCGTTTTCGTGGTCAGAAATTTTCATATTATTATTAGTCGTCACTACCACTGATATATCATCAGCAAATAATATAAAATACCAAAAATAAAAGTGGTCCAAGAACACTGCCTTGTGGAACTCCAATGTTTTTTGCTTTTAATTCTGATTGATACTTTCGATTTATGCCCTTTGAATCTAATTTAGTTATTTCAACAAATTGCATTCTACTTTGTAAATATGTTTTAATCTAATTTAAAGCTGTACCTCTGATACCTTTGTTATATATTATTTTTTAGTAGTTGTTCATGAGAAACGAAATCGAACGCCTTTGACATATCAAAGAAAAGAGCTGTTTATGTTTGCTTTTGTTAATGCTTTGTAATATTTCGTTAATTAAGTCAAAGGCCGCAAGTGTAATCGACTTATTTTTTTGAATTGAATTTATTAAAAAAACGATGTTAGTTTATTATGTATCACTTTTTCATATATATCTTTAATAAAACTGGTATCAGTGTAATGGGCCGATAATTTATTAGTTTTGTGGCCTTATTTATATAAAGGTGTGACAATAGAGTGTTTTAATTTATTAGGAAATATTCCCGTTTCCATTGACAAATTTATCAAAAATTATAAAATAGGGCTTATTTGTTCTTTACATATTTTTATAACATATGTACATATATTATCATAGCCTTCAGATTTTGTATTATTTAAAGTCATTATAACTTTTTTTTATATAATTGACATAGACAATTTGATACTTATTAATAAGTGACCTTCTCAATTTACAATATTTTATTACTAAACTGGTAAAATGCATATATTAATTAAGTTATTTCGCGAAAATTAGGTACCCTTCTCCTAACCGAATGAAATCAGTGAAGCGGCTTTGTATTGCGAGGCCCACTAACGAGAGTTTCACAACGATGAACTTTGAGGGCTCTTTATCATTTATAACAACAGAAATGTTTTTCTACCGGTTTCAACTTAAACTACCTTTGAAGTCTATATCATGATATTAGTTTTATACTCAATTTTAGCAAATCAATTAAAAAAGATACAGGTTATTTATAGGAGTATATTTCTTTGATCGCATTATTATGAGTATATAATGTTAAAATAAAACCCAAATTGAAGTTACAAATTTTCAGTTTTATTTTAGAGAGTGATACAACAAAACTGGCGATGATGTCTGCCGTTTAATTTGTTTTATTTAAATCTTATTCCTTTGCTAATAATGCTACTAAGCAAATTGAGAATTAGAGATGTGTAGGTACCCTGAGTAATGTATAACGCGTAATATAACACGACCGCGTACTATAACAGTACGAATTAGCCGATAAAATTAAGCATGGCATATGACACTAAACATGGCATAGCAACGAACATGACATCGATATATTGTAGTGTAATGCCACAGATAATATTATCGAGCGTTCCCGGCGCGGCAAGGCATATTGTTATTTTCGGTTTAAGCAAAAAAAAGTCTGTAATTTTCGGCATAAATAAAAAAAGTCCGATTAGTATTTATTAGCTGCAATTAAAAATGTATATAAGATAAAACAATAAAGCAAGAATATACAAATAATATTAAAAATCTATGAAAATTAATCATTGAATATAAAAAATAACTCTTTATAGATAGTTGATCAGCTATGAAATAAGAATAAAAATATTCAGTACAATTACAAGATACATGTTTGTACTGAATGTTCATCGGTCCGGCTGCCCGCTACGTAATAGCGCGCCGTGCGCATAGCGCGTCATCTTAGGTCATATTTTTCTTCTTCTTCTTTTATTAATGGCTTATCTGCACATATCGCACAATTCTGCCAATATCAAGTGAATAAATAAATTTCTACATGAAATATAAAAATGAAATGAATGAAAGATCAAGTAATTTTCTTAAAAACAAACTATAATACATTTGAGGTTATTCTTAATGTAGAGTAATGAGTAATGCCTTAATGTCATATTACACGATACAAAATGTCATGCCATATAGTATTACTTTTCATTATACTGTTTATCGCATGTCTATTGAGAATCACCAATTGTCGTGGTTTTGTTTTCGGAATGTACGCCCCGATGTTAATTATTTACGCACATAAAGACTTATACTTAACTACTATCGAATTTGCATTCGTAAGGGATACCTTAACTGATGTGAAAGATTTTTTAATTTAAATCCAGAAGAAATTTTTCAATGAAAACAAACAAAGAATCAAATCTTTTCCAATTATAATATTAACATAGATATATTACAAAGATAAGTAAACATAATCTGAAAGTCAAAGTTTTCTATGGACAAAGTTTGTCAAATCAGTGAGTTTACCATGAATGTTTTGCCGTTTTGAAATAACTTTTAATAACTTCATTAACCTAATTATTTCAGTAATTATAAGATACTCATCATTTTTTTTTTCATTAAATTTAAACATTTAAGAATATACGCCAGTGGTATAACTGCTAAAGGTTTGTGTAATATTGAGTATAAAAATGGATAATATGCTAGAAAACTTTTTAAGGAGTAACAAAATATGTAAATACGTAGTAGTCAATACCGCCCTATTGTCGGGATCAACAATAACAACTCATAGAATGATAGAAGTCAATTGATACAATGAGTTCAACTGTAGTCAATTTGCGGACTAACATTTATGTCCATGTCTGATCTATTTTAACATATTCGTCCAGTCTTTGCTGTGACAAGTGTTTCTCTTTCAAATTATATAAATACTTATCCTATATAATGGAAAAGTTATGTTTAACTTTACTCATTTTTCAGTCAGTAATAATCTCACTGAGTACGGAATTTGAAATTAAACAACAATTAAATGAAGAAAGTGAATATTACGAAATGAAATTACTACATAATGCGGATTCCAAACCCACTAATCACTTTGTAGAAGGCCAACCAGAAAATGGCTTTTCCGATAGATATTTTTACGAAGTTTCGTTGCCGAACGAAAATAATAATTATGAAGTATCAACAAAAAACGACGATGACAATATTCAAAATTCGGTTATAATAAAGTCTAAAGTAAAAGCAATAGACCTCGGTCCATACACATTAGTCCGTAAATTAGATGAAATTAAATATATGATGTTATGGCTAAACGTATACTGTGACGTGCATCCAGATTGCGACAAGTCCAAATTGAATGAAGAATTGCGACAGGTATGTTCTATCTAATATGATTCAGTATCTATTAGTTGCTAGACTACTAAATGATCACCTAAAAATAATGGTTAACTATTTTTATTGAATTTTGTCAATTAATTTTGGTTTGAATTTATTCTGATAACGCGATACATACGTTCCTCTTGTTGGATGTTTGTGTAGTGATAAGCTAACCCTACGTATATTAATAGATGTCACACTACTGGAACATGACGCTCATGTTCATAAGAATAGTCGTGCTTGTAATTGTGAGTTATATATTGTTTCACGTGGATTCTGCACCATCAGTGGGTCGTGACACTCTAAATATTTTTGGAAATCCTTTTAAAGATTTTATCAAATCAATTTCACATAAAGAGGAAAAAGTGAATGTCACTACGTTGAAACCAAACAACATAGAAGCGGGTTCGATGATTATTGCTCCTTTAAATGTAGAATCAGAAGCTTGTCGAAATAATAAAACAGAAATGGACATCAATGGGGTATGCAGAATGATATGGAGTTAGATTTTGATGAGTACATTGTAATACTTGTTATAAGGCGGCGTAGTATGCTCTACGTATTTCACTAAAATGGACGCCAAGTGTGTCGTTTTTATGATGATTGTGATGCTAAGTGCGTGTTCGGTTGTAAGAAATGAAAAAAACATGGTGATTTTTAATTTTCGCGATAAACTCCGTATGGCCACGACTACCTCCACTACTACCGAAAGTACAAAATCTAGTCAAGTGATTAGAATACCAGATCTCGAATGTCCAGATGGATCTAGACGTGATGCTACGGGGACATGTAGATTGAGGTTTTAAATTTATAAGGTAAAATATTCGTATTTTTTATTGTTAGAAATATCTTTTTAAACTATATTAAGATTAATTGATTATATAAGGATAAAAGATGAATTAAAAAAATGTCGACTTCAATAGACTAAATAGACATATAGCAATAATAATGTAATATTGTAACTCAAAATATATCTTATTAAGCTAACACTATAATCAAACTTATAAACGTCAATTGGTTATAAACGTAAAAGATCTTATAAATCTCTAATATCTTCAATTCGAAATATATAAAGAAATTCATTTAATTTGTACATTAATAGAAAGTGAATAAAATTGTTTTTCACAGCTGTTTTTTGGCAACAAGTTTTTCGTTTATTCTGATCAATGTTATATTTTGAGTTACAGCACAATTGTATTATTGATGCGATGTAAGTTATCCAATACAATGTTTCCTTATATTTATTTATTAACTTTATCGAGCAGTAAAGAAATGGTACAAAAGGCGGATTTAATACTAATGGAATTCTCTCCCAGTCAAGTTAAAATTAAGTATCAGTAGACGTAAAGAAGAAACGAACAAATATTTTAATAGATTTAAAACTGACTTAATAATATGTAAATATATACGAAAATGCAATATACTATATATAGCGTGCGAATGAAGTTTCTATGAAAGTTCTAATTTAAACGTTTCGGATGAAGTTCTAATTTAAAACTAATATAAAACAACCGTTTTTTTTTTCATTATATACTCACATATATAGTTAATGTAAGTTATCAATACAAATATCAATAGACAATGGTGATATCAATATTTAACTCACATTTTATTTCAACTTTAATTCATCATCGCTCATAGCAACTACAGATACATTCCAAGAAATTTGCTACATTAAATTGACAAAATGACTCGATTCACTTCGTATCACCCCTCACCATATAAACCCCCCTTGATTTTTTATTGAGTTTTAGCGAGACAAAAGAACAGAAATTAATTTTATATATTATATAGATAGATTTTCAAATAACTTCACACGCTAAACCGGGATTTCAAGAACTAAAAAGTGAACCGCTTTAAAAAAAAAGTGAAATTGAAAACTATATTATCAATAATTCTCTATTGAAGTCAAGCGGAAATTTTGTTATGGTTTGGCGTTGATTATAAATATTAATAGCCCGATTTCAATAGACATTACGTTAATAGGAGACAAAATCCAGCACACATGTTTAACAGTAGCCTAACATTAATAAATATTTATTACGCAATTTCTACGAATTTTACCGGTATTCATATGGATAACCTCCTTTTTTGAAGTTTGTTAGTGATATTTAATAAGCTCGTATTGAAATCGACTTCAATAGAAATATATTTAATGATTATCACTTTTATTAAGCTTTAATAATTCCGATTTCAAAGAAATATTTGTTACTGTGAAGTTTTGTCTCCTGTCATCGTAATTAAGGATCAATTGAGTATCCTTTCATTGGTACGCGCACTTGAACGTGACAAGGTTACTTCCATAGGAATGACAGGTGCATGGTGACAAAAATAATAACTGACGACCATGATAAATACCCTTATTATATGAGTTTCTACCTTATCTTTCAGCCCGAGATTGATTCTTTTTCTCCTGGATTAAGCAACTTCAAAAAGATAAACAGAAACTTCATGGGAGCACTTCTTTATCTATCTAACGTGTGGTGGGTCATAACCTATTCGATGTATTCGGTTCGGAGCGATTCGATTATATCCATAGAAAAGGCTTATACTCCAGCAGTGGAGGCGTAAATAAACTGATCACTGATACTACTTTGCCCACATATTGCCGGAAAACTAAAAACAAGACGATGGTTTAAAAATATACCCTTTGGGCGCTTCTCTAGGCTGCTTTTTTGTTCTTATTTGACTAGTACATACAGTAATGTTACATGAATATTTCACGAAGTACTACCATACGCCTTCAACTTTTCTTTCTTGCCAATACCAAAAAAAATAAATAATCAAAATTGTCTCTTACAGATGCTGTCATCAATAGCTCTCCAAAGAACCGGAAGTAGCGTTTAAAGCAAGAAGATAAATTAAGTTGTAGTTTATTTTAACTCTTATCACATTTACATTAAAATACATAAAAAAATATCGAAAATAAAAAGGTTGGAAAAACAAACTTTATCGAGACTTACTTAGTGTTTCTAAAATAATCACTAATGGCTACGTTGTCAGAAGATAGAAGACGTGTCAATAATAAGTTTCAAAATACGGCTTCTATCAATTATATCGTGATGCGGCATTCTTTCAATGAAATCAATGAAGGAGGATTGATAAAAAGATTTTTGAAGCCACAGCTCAGAAGATTAGACAAGACGTTAGAACGGTTTTATGATCGTCAAGTATAGGTCTTGGTAACATCAACACAGCAAACAGAACACCAAGCAAACAAAATTATTTGATATTTAATCGTTGTTAATGATTTAGAAGTACCATCCTAAACAAATACTAAAAAACGAGTACTACGACAACATCGTATAAAAAATTAACGTCATATCACATTACTAATATCACTATAAAAAAGCTAGATCCTACGAATAGTGATGTAACACATAACGACGATGAAAATACAAGCAATTATCAAACAAATGTTTTTATACGAGTGCTACAAGTATCCTGGTTTACTTGTAGCACATAATACAGCTGATGTTTTTCTAGAAACAACTGAAGAAACAATCACAAATAATAATATTGATGTAGATGGTAACGGAAAAAAAAAACCTTACTGCCGGTTGTCTTTGTAGTAGCACGTAGATAGTGTTAAGAATGGCAAGTGTATGCCTGAATGTTCTAGCACTTAACTAAAACGTTCTTGTTTATAATTTATGTGTGTTATTTTTTAAGAAAACATAGTGAATTATATTATTTACCATTTTATTTATAAAAAAAATATTTGTTTTCAAAATTCGAGGATTTGATTCAATTAGTAATGAGATCAATATTGATTATTAATTAAAATTCATTATTGAAGTTTAATGTGCTCGTTTGTGTTTTTAGTTGAGAATGCACAGAAAAATATGAGTAGTAATGAAAGTGACTTTAACTCCTTATTCACTCCGATATTCGTGGTCCTGCTTCATCTCGTGTCTTTTGTGCAAATGCGTAATACATAACAATTACCGTTTTTGCATACCCAGGAAATTTTTCATCAAACAAATTCAGAAATTCACAGATTTATATAACCCAATATATTTAATATTGACTATTCAGACAATGTATTAAGGTAGAAAATTAAGTAGAGGAATTTATCAGTTTACTACAACCTGGCATGCTATTGACATCAATGTTTGAAGAATTTTTATGCACCTTATATTTCTTACAAATTGTAAAAATCATCGGGCTTAGACGATATGTTTTGAGAGGTAGATTGAAAATAAAGAAACAAAAGCATTTTATTGGTTAAAAGATGCTTACCAAACATTGCATAACTTATTTGACAATCTCCAAAGTCGAGTAGCTCACACGCTGTATTTAAGGTGTAGGCACTAATGAGGTCCTGGATTCATTTACCTGTTTGAATACGTGTCTAAGTATTTTTTGGTCTTACTTTGGTTGTTTCAGATATGCCAGCCTTATCTACTTATCTTGAAACCTAAGAAATATTTTTTTACTTTGCATGGACATAATTATTAAATATTAAAGAAAGACCTGAAATCAAAAAGATCATCACATCAAAGTAATATAAAGTAATTAAATTTTAGAAAACATTACACACATTACTCAGATTCCAATATGAGTAGCTAAATTATGGAGTATCTGAAACAACGAAGGTACCACAACATCCAGACTCGAGACCCGAACGGGATCGAACCCAGGATCTCAGAGATGGTGACACCTCGAAATCGGCATCGGTTGAATCAATCTTATTCATAATATTTCATTCACAGAGCTATATTCATATCTATGTTATAGAAAAATATGTATTTTAATGTGAATAAAAATATGATGATTCGAATCCATTTTTAAGGTTATGCGTTACATAACTAAAAAAAGATGTTGTACAACAGCTTTTAGTAATCCCCCAATACCCCATATAATCTTTACCCTTTTTGTCTTTTTCCTCCATAGGATGCCTGGAAGAGATTACTAGAAACAAATATACCATATACACACTAGTTACAATATTTGTAATACATCAACAAATTTTTCAGCTAAAAGTTTGGCTATAACAAATATCAAGAAGAATCAAAATAAAGTTTCAAATAAGAACATTAATTAAATTGTAGTTGTAGTTACCTTATCATGTACATGTTAAGCGATAGTCACAAAGGTTGAAAGGTGAAAGTTTATCTAGACATATTTATTGCTCCTCAAGTAATCTGTAATGGCTTCAGTGATAGAAAAATATCAGTCGTGTCAATAATAAGTTTCGAAATGCGGCTTCTGCCATTTATATTCTGTTGTGGCGTTCTCATATTAAAATGTGAAACAATCGAATGCCAACTTATAAAAGGATTTTTGGATAAAGTACACGGTACAGCTCAGAAAGTGAGACAAGACGTAAGACAGGTGTTACGACCTACCGTACGTAGTAATGTCAACACTGGAAATAATACGTCAATTTTTTTCATCGATGATGATGATGATGATGTCCCGAAGCCATTCCAAATGAATCCCGTGAAAACTAGTACGACAATGAAACCAGTTAACAGTTTTACGTTTTCTCAGACTACTAGCACTACAAAAAAACCAGTTCCAACTCCTACCAACAGTAATGTGGCATTTGTTGATAATGGGAATACAAGCAGTTTTCAAGCTAACGCTAATCCTACCAGTGCAACAAGCAAAACAGGAAGTACAGCTGATACTATTGTATTTGAAACTGAAGAACCAACTAAAAAAAATAGCAGTGATGTAGATGGATCAGGAAAAGAAAATTTTAGTGGCGGCTGTCTCGCTGGCTATCAACGTTCCCCTGATGGAAGGTGTATGCCTGTATTTTGATTTATTTACGAGGAAATATACAAAAAGCATGTAAGATTTTTTTTTTTGATAGATCATTTATACATAGCATTATTGTTATTTTTATATTTTTGTGTCTGTAAAAATATAGCATATTACGTGACACGTAAGTTGTACCAAAATGGCGAATTTCTGTGCAAGTACAGTCATGAACTATGTTTAATTTTGAGCTCTACCCTTAATGTATTATGATTTATAAACAAGAGAAGAGTCATTTTAGTATGTAAGTCGGACGTGCTTTTGACTGTACATAATATATTAAAATATTTTCCGGAAATTTGTTCAATTTAGTTTAACTTTTCAGCTAGTGTTCAAGTACATATATTACCAGTAATATGTATAACACGGTATTCTATACAATGCGTAGGAAATATATTAAACGCCTAAATCGTATATGTAATATATGAAATAATTATATATTCTCCCTACATATTCTATACAATACCGGATGAGGAGCCACTAAGGTATGTAAAAGACGATAGCAAAGAAGAGTGGGCGTGTGGTTAGACAAGCAATAAACGTATTTCAACTCTTATAACAAGTGTATATTACATATAATTAAATAATACTGTTTATATGTATAAAGTGGATATATCACGTTAACAATTTTTGTCGGTCATGTGATTTCTATAGTCTGAAAAAATATAACCTTGAAATTTAAAACTAACCTATCACGTGATTTGCAGGTAGGTATAACACAATTTCTACTTTTCAGTTAGAAAAGTATGATATTAATTGGAAATTTTAAAATAAAGTTGATTTTAAGTCATAAAACATGTTTCATTTACCCCTCACTTATGGGTAGGCCGGCCAACATTGATAAATATAGACGAAATTAACTAGGTGAAACAGCAGGTACTCTATACCCTAGGAATTGTATACATTACATAGGGAAAGTATGCTATGGATCATAATATTCATAATTTTTATCCATTGTCTGGTCGCCTCAAGTATTGTATACATTCCCTAGGTATTATATAAAATATCTAAATTATACAAATTGCCGATAATATACAAGATTTAAAAGATTAGCCGCCATTTTACAACTTCACACATAATTGAAGTAATTTTTAGTATATGAAACATGGAGGGGATATTACAATAAGTATTAACTCAAACAACTTATTTTTACTGGTAAAGTAAAACCGTTGCTGTTTGTTATATTTACCTATTAATTAAATACACTCAATACGTAAGTTTAAGAAAAAACGATACAATATGATACTAAAAATCTTACTTGATACTAAATGATTACATATTTTAATCAACCAATAATTGAAGATAAATAACTGAATAAAATGCTACACGAAGGAATGTTTTATTCTTTTTTTACATTCACTGTCGCTTAAAACATTAATAATACTGACATTATACACTACTCAATATCAGAAGCTTTTATTGATCTTATGTCAATAGCGGCTTCTCTACTGGATGGTAAGTAATCTATCTCGATCGATTCGTCTTCAATAGATGTTAATTGATTTCTCTTATTGTCTTGGTCATAGACTTTATTACTCTGAAGATTATCTTCGTTAGAAGATGGCACTGGATATTCAAAAACATTCTTGTTTTGAAATTGTGGTGAATGATAGTAATAATATTTAATATGAGGCTGAGGCAGCGATGGGGGATCACGTTGATGTTTATAATAGTGTGATTCTAATGATGGTCGATAGTAATATAAATTATTATTTGGAGATGGTGGGTAAGCATTTCTATCATGAGGAGGTGATAGAGAAGGATGTTGATGATATTTATTATTCTGAGAGAGAAGTTGCCATACATCAAAATTTTTATTGTGTGATGTTTCAGATCTATCTGTGTAGGACACTGATGGGTTATGAAGGTTATATCTATTTATGGAAGGTTGATAAGTATCGTTGAAATTTGACGTCAAATCATGAGAATGTGAAATATGGAAACTATTCTTTTCATATGGTGGTTGCTGGTCTTCGTAAATAGACACAGGTGGATAATTCTGATTTTCAGTCGAATTATCTTTATAGTCATTTGAAAATGGAGTAGATTGATGTTTATAATTGTTTTTAGAATTCCATGTATTCCACATTCCACCGCTGTCCATATAAAAATTAGACTCAGTCGAAACTTCACTCATATCTTCTGTTTCCACTATTTCCAATTCTATTAGCTCGATTGGAATTATTTCGATTGATTGCTCTGCTCTATAATTTTCATGTTGATTGTTATTAACGGGATTATTCACTGGTTCACTTGATAGCTTTTTTATGTGTATTGGTGATTGATGTTCTGTTAAAAATAAATTCATTTAATGTTTCAGTAATTCTATATACTATATTTATGCATTTCTTCATTTACACATGTAAACGGATAAATGTTTATTAGTGACATTTACTTTGTTGATTTCTTATATTTTTACGCGCACTATGAAACAACTTTTAAACTTTTTATATTAGAACTTTCTATATTGACGCTTCGGACCCTTTACAGGAACCTGTAAAGGTTCCGAAACGTCAATACAAACTAAATACAAACGTGATGAAACCGTTTAAAAGTTGTTTTATTTTTACATTTATATTAAAATTATTAACTTGGTAAGCAGGACCACACAATTATGCTATTTTTTACGTAATAATTGCATCTCAATAGAATCTCAACTATTTGCATTATGAACTATCTTCCTGAGGTTTAATATTATTAGTGGAATAATATCTTTCTCACAAATGAATAGATATATATCTGGTGATCTAGTAACAAGAACTTATAGTTGAAGTGCTATTGACTTTCCATAAATACTCTGACATTAGCAGAATTGCCCTACAATTGTGTCTAAGGATAATCAACTTTTTTAATTATTAAAAATTACCTTCATAACGTTGAATAGACACACATTCCACAAGACTCTTTACACAATAAAATATTAATAGAATCCTAACTCTCATTTTTCTTGCTATATTTTTAATTCACAAGCATAACATGGCACTAGTCTACTCAATACTGATTTAGCATAAATGAGTGGACGTATCATCTTCGTAAAATGTTGTGTTACCAGTTTTTTTGAACTGGTAGTGTCAGGTCGGTGGTATTTGCCTGCTTACTTATATAACTGTCATACATAGTATGATTGTATCAACCTAGTTATAATGTATGCAAAATAATATTTCCATTTCACATACACATGCAACTATTTAAATTCCGATACCAATTTTCCACTACACTATTTTTTTTATTGAATCCACCTGGAAAAAACCTTTATTGTATAGTAAATTGTGTGAAATATAGTAAATCATAATCCGGTTTCTTTTTTCTTGTATTAACTTACAAACATTGGTAATTAAGAAGGAAAAAGATATTGCTTTCATGTATATTTTTTTGAGCTTATTTTTTAGAAATATCACAGTTTTTTTAGTTACATATACATGCCTTTTTTTATACCATCTCTGATATCAGTTATGTAATAAAATAATAAAATTACTATGTTAGAATAAGTCAATGACACAAAGTAAATGTAACAGAACTCTTTTTTCTTAAACTTTGAAAGCATGCTGTTGAGACGTGATATAATTTTTTTTAAGATATTTATTATCGGTTTTCATAATATGTATTACACTTTGTGCACTACACTAAATATCATCAATCAGTAATCTTTGAGAATATATTTTAAATCTTATTATAATTACTTATTTGAAATTCAATTATTTACTTATTTCTTTCCAAAAAACGTATGTTGTCCTTGTGACGTGATAAACGTTTTGCCATGTAAAGTGAAATGTAAAAGCCACTTATCTAATACAGAAACCGGCGACAATCTCATTCAGTGCGACAAATTGGGAACACCTTCCGCCCGGACGAGGGTTTGTACGACACCGCAGCCGCACTCACTGGCAAATAGCTATTTATTGTGGCACACTGCTAGACACCTGTCCCTGCGTAAGGGATTGTGGCGTAACAGGGATTTTGTCAAGAAAATAATAATTTACCTATTAAAAGATAATGGAAATGCTTTTCACATCTATTCCAATATTGCTACGATCTAAGAGAAAGTGAACATCGGTAACTTTTTCAAACTTCGTTAAATATTTTTACTATCTATAAAAAAAAGCGTTTAATAAAAATAACCTATTTTTAATTCACATAAGGATATGTTGCCCATAATTTTAACTGTCCGTATTATTCAGGTTCACAAAAAACTATTGATCTAATACTCGTAAAGATTTTATCATCCTCTATGAATTATTATTATTGTCTGTATATTAAAAAAAAAACAGCTAAGTGCGAGTCGGACCTAAGCATGAAGGAGTCCCAAAATTATACATTAAAAACGAGTTGTTTGAAATTTCAGAGTAAAAAGTTAAGTAATTTACATGTAGGGGTAAAATAAATATTTTACCAATTTGACAGCGTGTTTAACATGTATACTAATACCAAATTAGATCTTTCTATTACCAATTTTTTTTAGCTGAATCTCAGAAGGGAGAATGAACGAACGGATGGACATACGGGCATGACTCGTAAAACCATAAGACCATAAATCGTAAAAATATGTGATTGATAATTTAAATTACTCTATTGTCTCTATCATGGAACAATGATTCATATTATTTAACAAATGTATATTTAAATTGGCTTTAAATAAATCAGTAGCAACAGTTCCAAACTTTTGATTAGTACAGTATGCTTTGACTGTGTGCTAAATTTGCAACAATTCGAAATCAGGCGGAAAACTATCAGAAGTTCGGGGGCTAAATTAACGTCAAGTTTCTGGCACAATCGAAGATTGAGAAGAGTTATTCTGCTGCTTGTTTATCAACTTCATAATAATTTCGCTAAGTATAAAATACAATTGATAGTGATACTGAAAATACCTAAATATAATTATTTGTTCATTTAACAGATATATTATCTAACATTTAAAGTTCTAATTTAAATGTCGTTACTGACAGCTTTCAATGATAGGTTTGTGTCCTACAAGTGAAAATAAAGGTTTCTGCCGCCACTTTAACTTATAAATATTTAAGAAAATTAATTTTATGACGCTCATTTGGATAATATTACACTTTGAAACTTGAAAAATAAAGATTATAAATTTTCTACAAAAATTTGATATAATACATCTGGCATAAAATTAGTTACGTACGAGTAAGACGTAACAACTATTATTATAACAACTATAAACATAAAGGCACAAATAACTAAGGTATTACAGAGATTGTCCAGTTACGTTTTTCGCTACCGTAGCACTGTGTGACGTCACTTAGTACCTTGAATTCGAAGGGAGCATTTTCGACCGACTAGCAGCAGTTAAACAAACAATATACCGTATCTCCGAAACTTTTATTCGCAGAGATGCTGTTACTTTAACATTATTTCTTTGATATTTATGATATTAATGGACATTGAATCTCATTGTATGTTCCACTCTGAGAAACGAAAGTAATAAATATTTTTAAAATTTGCGGAGGTTGAAAATGAATCTGATGCAAATATTCTGTAGACGGTTCAATTTTTGACGCTAAAATTCCGACAAATCCATTATCGATTCCGCGGGTGTCTGACCCGCGTAATCGATAATGGATAAAAGTAGATAATGCACCAAGGAGACCTTTCCTGTAACGGTATAGTCATTTAAAATTACTTAAAAATCAAAAATCAAAATCAAAATAATTTATTCAGTCTAGGCTGTTACAAGCACTTGTAAAAGTCGAGAGTCTTAATCTTTCATATAGAAATTACACATAATACATAATACTAATTAACCATCCACAGACGATTCTTGCACCATAAATTGAACCACCTAAATGTTACATGTAACGAAGAAGGTTAACGTAGCAAGGTAAAAAAAACATTTTATATTTTGTTCATTTAACACGCCGTACTTTTATATAACGTTTGGTGTATGGAAAGGTGAAGAAATTCTCTTGGAGCCCATGTGTTATCCCGGCCGTTTGTTAAGATCCCGAATTATGTGGCGCCCGCGGGAGTTCTATGGTGAGAAACACGAAACAAGTTTCACTTTTTATACTGTAGAAAAGGAAGCTTTTGTATACCTACACTGTGATGGAAATTCTTAAAAAAGGTTTATGTGTGTCCTATGAAGATTGATACAAATCGAGTTATATCATTTATTTCTATCTAATTCACATTTTAAGACGAGCCATAGCTCTGGAAATAGTTTTATACAAGACAAAAAATTATACAAGGTAGTTTTATGAAATGTTGATGTGTAAATGAGTGTATTGTTTAAGAGAATGTACGAGTATCATAATTGAACCTAAATATGGAATTAATCAATATTCCATATTAGGTTAATTTGCATAAAGCAACACATGGTTTTGGGGTAAAGATGCATACAGCTACGCCTGTCACTTCTTTTTCATGATAATATTTCCTTGTTTTGTTTTATTTCAGTAGTTAGGTGATAGTTTTGAACTCACGTTTTATTTTTTTCTAGTTTAATTAATGAGCTCGATGGCACAGTGGTAAGTGCGTCTGGTTTGCGATGCGGAGGATAACAAAATTTCCTATTAGCTGTTTATAAGATTGGTGACCGAAACTTTATTACCTTGAGCTCCTCCGTGCTTGTAAAGGCATATTAACCGTTGGTCCCGGCTGCACCTGCAGACGTTAATACTCACCGAGAAGGGTTATGGGCAGTAGTCTCTATTTGATTCCATTCAATTCCATCAACAGGGTAGGCTGTCCCCTAACAGTTGGTATAAATAGGCTTATGATGAATTCTCTCTAAAGCGTAGATCCTATTTTTAATATCGTTGTTATTAATTTTGCATACAAATTAAAGTCAGTTGTGTCTGAGCAGCTACCAGTTGTTTCATATTTGAAGAAATCTCACATTTTTGTCACTATTGACTTATTTTTATGTTGGCTACTTAAATTTTAACTCTTAATTATACTGACTTAATAGTTTTTGAATTTCTTAGTAATCAAATAACATACTAGGTGGCTAGAGAATTATATATACTTATAAAATTGCTAATAAAGTCGCATCCTATTTTAAGCAAAAGTTATACTAACTATGGACCAGACATTTTATATGCAATTGTCATAATATACCTATAATAACCTATAGGTATAATACTTATACGGAACGTCTAAAGATATTAAATGACGATTTCAAAGATAATTATTTTTAAAGATTGTAATCGATATTGTAAAATGTATTGTATAGTTATTTTTCCTTTTTACAAGTCAAAAAACCAATAAGCTCTAGATCCCATTCGGCGAGCAAGCCGGAAAAGTTTCCCATTGCAGCAAAGACGCCTAATTGGCTAGAGTTTCCGATTCATATTTACTACTTTCAAGCAAATGCTTTTAAAATGTATTCACAACTCGTTTACAATTTAGAG